TACAGTAGTAGATAGCATGCGGGAGTCGATACACGCCCTTCGTTGTGACGTCTTGTGCCTCCAAGGTACGCAGATCAAGCACATAAAATGGCCGACTATAGCCAGCCGTACAATGGTGGAAGCGCTCTAGCTCTGCAACGGAGCGTTTTCAGAGAAAACCCCACATAGTTTCTGACCTTCGTTGCCCGTTGGGTAGATGGTATCGTTTCTGGGACGAACAGACGTTCGAGAGGTGAGATGTAGAGTAACAGACAGACACACAGACACACAGACACACAGACACACAGACAGACCCAATGAAAAGCACTGAAGTGCAAACCCTCGGCGAACTGGGGATGTGCGGTACCGCTAATTGATGGGCTGGGCTGCTATTAGTATGCGTTTACTCGTGGTCTCCCGCTAGTAGCTCGCAGAGAGTCTGACACGGGCTAGCTACAGTAGTAGATAGTATGCGAGAGTCGATACACGCCCTTCGTTGTGACTTCTTGTGCCTTCAAGATACACAGAGTAAGCGGACCCGGTCGAGGATATAAGCGCATGCGCATTTTCCGCAGCGATAAAAATGGCCGACTACGCATTAGCCGTACAATGGTGGAAGCGCTCTAGCTCTGCAACGGAGCATTTTCAGAGAAAACCCCACATACTTTCTGACCTTCGTCGCGCGTTGGGTAGATGGTATCGTTTCTGAGACGAACAGACATTCGAGAAGTGAGATTGAGAGTAACAGACACACACACAAACCCAACTACAGTACCCTCGCTGCGCATGCGCGCCGAGGGTAATGAAAAGCACTGAAGTGCGCACTGTGACGCGCACGCGTAAGTAAACGCATGCGCCGTACCACTAATTGATGGGCTGGGTTTAGTTTTAGCTGTTACTCGTGGTCTTGCCAGCTCACGCAGAGTCTGACGCGGGCTAACTACACTACTAGATAGCATGCGAGAGGCGATACACGCCCTGCGTTGCATCTTCTGGTGCCTCCGAAGTACGCAGAGCACGCGGATCGATTCGACTGTGGTAAGCCATCCCGTCCATTGTGTATTTGCATATTGGCTTTTTCGCGCTCTAGCTTTGCAACGGAGCATTTGCAGAGAAAACCGCCTTTATTTTCTGACCTTCGTCGCCCGTTGGGTAGATGGTATCGTTTCTGGGACGAACAGACGTTCGAGGAGTGAGATATAGACTAACAGACAGACAAACAGACAGACCCAACTACAATACCCTCGCTGCGCATGCGCGCCGAGGGTAATGAAAAGCACTAAAGTGCAAACCCTCGGCGAAGTAGCTCGCAGAGAGTCTGACACGGGCTAGCTATATACAGTAGATAGAACGTGAGAGTCGATACACGGCATTCCCGGTCGACGTAAGCCTGTGCTAAATATAAGCGCATGCGCATTATCCGCCAGCGATATAATGGCGACTACCGGCGCATTAGCCATACAATGCTGGAAGCGCTCTAGCTCTGCAACGGAACATTTTTAGAGAAAACGCCACATATTTCTGACCTTCGTCGCCCGTTGGGTAGATGGTATCATTTCTGGGACGAACAGACATTCGAGAGGTGAGATGTAGAGTAACAGACACACACACACACACACACACAGACAAACCCGTAACCCTCGCTGCGCATGCGCGCCGAGGGTTAATGAAAAGCACTAAAGTGCAAACCCTCGGCGAAGTAGCTCGCAGAGAGTCTGACACGGGCTAGCTACAGTAGTAGATAGCACGCGAGAGTCGATACTTGTGCCATCAAGATAGACAGAGCAAGCGGACCCGGTCGAAGTCAGCCTGTGCTAAATATAAGCGCATGCGTCTCATCCGCCAGCGATAAAATGGCGACTACCGGCATTAGGCGTACAATGGTGGAAGCGCTATAGCTCTGCAACGGAGCATTTTAAGAGAAAACCCCACATATTTTCTGACCTTTGTCGCCCGTTGGGTAGATGGTATCGTTTTTGGGACGAACAGACATTCGAGAGGTGAGATGTAGAGTAACAGACACACACACACACAGACAGACAGACAAACCCAACTACAGTACCCTCGCTGCGCATGCGCGCCGAGGGTAACTACCGTCCCTCGCGCGCTGAGCATGCGCGCCGAGGGTTAATAAGGGATGACACAGGTTGTCCTGTATTATGCCCATACATTTGAGATTTTCATGTTTCACTTGTAGTTTAAATCAGATCCAACTTTTGACACATCAGACTGATCCGTATCATCACAAAGAGCATGTATCCAAGAAATGGCTTAAATCGCACAATCGGTACTTACTATCAAAAAAGTCAGTTTTCAAAATTCTTGTTGTTGTTCAGTTTAGACACGCTTATCTCAAAAACCACTTAAGATATTGTAATCTATGTCCCAGGATTGAAATTTTGTAAACAATGTTGTTTACATGTAAACATCAAAACACAACAAAAAACAGCCCCAGGCCATACATTATGATATAGACCAATAAACAAGGTAGAGCAAAGTTAGCACACATATGCAACCCATCATTAGTATCAAAATGTTAACATTACAAGTTTGTAAACAACAAAACTTGTGAATGTGTTTGTCCCCATAACTTGCTTATGGTGGGTCCTCTAACAATGAAACTTGCTACACTTATGTACCATGATGAGAGTACATCGAAACAGAAATTACAAGTTTGTAAACAACAACAAACAGTCTCAGGCTATAAACACTTGTAAAATATGCTTGTGCCTATAACTTGCTTATAGTCGGTCCTCTATCAATGAAACTTGGTACACTGATGTACTATGATGAGAGTTCATCGAAACAGAAATTACAAGCTTGTAAACAACAACAAACAGCCTCAGGCAATAAGAACTATTTAATGGTGTTTGTGCCTATAAATTACTTGTGGTTGGTCCTCTAACAATTAAACTTGGTAGTTAGGTAACAAGTTCGAAGCCAATATGCATAATCAGCTCTCTCTTAGCTCACCCGGTTTAGCGCACCTCTGAGGCATGAATTAATTACGAATTGTTTTATTGTAGTACTTAGTATATGGGTTGTCCTACATTATGCCCATACATTTGATATTTTCATGTTTCACTTTCGGCTTCAATCAGATCCAAATTTTTACACACCAGACTGATCCGTATCATCACAAAGAGCATCCAAGAAATTGCTTAAATCACGTATCGGTATATATTATACTTGATTTATTTAAAAAGTTCAGTTTCAACAAGTGTATCTCAAACACCAAGTAAGATATGGGGATGAAACTTTGCACAAAGATTAAAATTATTGACAGGTCGTGCAAGAGCATTACAATTTGTTTGTAAACAATGTTGTTTACATGTAAACCAAAAAAAATAGCCGAAGGCCATACATTATGGTATAATACCAGTAACGAGTAGAGAATGATAAAACTTTGCACACTCATGCAACCCATCATTAGTATCAAAATGTAACCATTACAAGTTTGTAAACAACAACAAACAGCCTCAGGCAATAAAAAAATTAATTTGTAAGTGGTGTTTGAGCCTCTAACTTGCTTATGGTTGGTCCTCTATCAATTAAACATGGTATATACACATATGCAACCCGTCATTGGAATCAAAATGGTAATATTACAAGTTTGTAAACAACAACAAACAGCCTCAGGCAATAAAACGTGTTTGTGCTTCTAACTTGCGTATTGTTTGTCCTGTTGCAATGAAACTTGGTACACTGATGTACCATTATGAAAGTTCACCGAAACAGGTATTAGAAGGTTGTAAACAACAACAAACAGCCTCAGGCAATAAAAACTTGTAAGTGGTGTTTGTGCCTATAAATTACTTGTGGTTGGTCCTCTAACAATCAAACTTTGTACATTGATTCACCACGACAGAGAGTTCATCGAAACAAACATTACAAGGTTGTAAATGACAACAAACAAAAAAGACCTATAAATGGTGTCAGATGGGTTCTCTCGCAATCTGACTTGATGCACTGATGTAATGTGAATGACGATAAAACGTCGGAGCGACAGCTTAAGGCCACTAATATTACTTTTTATGGGCTTATGCCTAAAAATATCCTTTTTTTGTTGCAGTGAAAATGGGAAGGAGACAAGTAAATACAAAATTCTTCGATTTTAAAAAGTGTGGAATATAGGGATGCCATACAAAGCAAGGGGACAAGACAGGTGGGATGACCTAGTGCTTGTGATGAATTAGTACATTGGGATGATGGTAACATCTCCAAACTGACATCGATTACTCGTGTAAATTTCACTCTACACAAGCCCTATATTGTCGCCACTCTTACTCATGACATGAATTTTTAATAACGTAGTGTGAAGACTAATTCTGTAGGGAAAGCAGCATTGTAAAACTGGTTAGTTGAACGAACATTGAAATTAATACAGTCATGATTCAAAACTGAGGACCTGTAAGAGAGGGCATTTGCTACCAGTCTTACGTACATTCATAGCTGCACATCATACGATAGAGATCACTCGTGCTTGGAGACAATATAGGGCTTGTGTGGAGTAAAATTTACACGAGCAAGCGATGTAAGTTTGAAGAAACCATCATCCCATTTTACTAATTCATCACATGACATGCACTAGGTCATCCCTGTCTTGTCTCCTTGCTTTTTATGGCATCCCTATATTCCACATCTTTTAATTTTTATCTACTTGTCTTTCTTACAAATTACATAGTTGCAAAATCCTCTCCGAATCCCGCTTGGTTTTGCCAAAAGCAAGCCGCTTCATCGTTGCGCGCGCCGCAGTCTTAGGAGGGGGCGTGTACAGGATCGCTTTTGCGCGTTAGATCTCTAATCCGACCCCCGGCCGGATCGCGTGCTGCCGAGCGTGAGCTGAGGCAACTACTCCGGGTTGTATTCTCGCGATATGCGTGTACGTACGTACGTACGTACGTGTCGTCACGCTTAAGAATGCCAATTAGTCACGCTTAGGAATGTCACTTCCGTGATTCGTAGGTAGCTTCCGCCGTGCGCACAGATTCGTATATAGGTAGATCCCGCGCGCTCATCAGCCACGCGCTTAGTGCAAACCGAAGGCGGTGCGCTATTGAAAAATGCGGATATAACGTTATAATTGCATATTTCCCAGCCCCTCCTCCTAACATACCGCTGCTGGCTGGCTGGATGCTGGCTGGGCACCCAGATAAAGGATTGGCAGATGGATATCGTTTCTCTCTTCCCTCCGACAAGACGCCGGCAGAAACGGGTAAGCTTTCTTCACGAATCGTTATGGACTGTTCCACCGTGCTAGTACGGTATAGCTACGCTGGCTGAGCGAGTAACGGGTATCTCTATGGCTGGGCGGCGGCAAATGAGTAATGTTGTGGGATACAGTGTTAGATGACGACATGCTGAGATATAATTGCTTAGTTGGTCCGTGTTGTAACTTTTGGGGTTGTGCGGACTGGGCAAATAACGATTATCTAGCTATTCCTTCATTGTAGGCTCGTAGACACACTACTGAAGTAAGATTAGCAGATTTACCTACCTCAGAAGATACTGAGAAGGAATTTGAGCAACCTTCAGCTTTACACTACTCAGACGCAGAGAGCAGCTCGTTAAAGGGTGTGGCATCTGAGGGTGAGTTAAAGTCTAGTTGGGACAGCCTTGATGCTGAGGCTACTGGAATCCATTATGAAGGCAGCCAGGTGGAGGAGATGAGTTTGCGGTCAGTGATAATGCTGAAGCATGGTTTTCAACTTTCATAATTATGAGCTTGCCCTTGATAACATGCTTACATCGTTTGTACGTGATCATGTGTAAGTCACAAAGTGTATTTGCAATTAAAAAGTAGATCATACATGTTTCTAGTTCGACTTCACATGTGGACCATGTGATCATGGAGATCATATCAACAGAAGAGACATATGTACAAGATCTTACTGACATCATACAGGTATTTTTAGTAAAAGTTGTCACGGTTTTGTGCCCTTAAGTGATAGAGTGGTCAATAAGTGTGCACATTTAAGGCCTGTTGATTAGATGTTATGTATTACCGTGCCGGTTGTAACTACCACCAACCAGTGTGGGCAAATCCAATACTAAACCTGGATTTCAGCCATGCACTATACACTTTCACTGTAAGGAGCAGAACGGGCTAAGAGACTGCCTGTGTTTGGCTTCTAAAGGAAAGGGTTTTGTCGTTACAAATGTGATTATCACAACAAAGTGACGAAGGCCTTGTAATCAATCCTGTGGCTCCTGAATCAGTTTGCATTATAACCAAAACATGGAAAGTCATGTGCAAGTGCTAAACCACTGGTAATTGCCCGCCCCTTAAGATATCTGACATTGTTTTAATAGAGGCTTACGTAGATGGCCACACCAGCATTCTAGTATAGTCAACATAAACCTAACAGTGGTGTAAAGCAAGGTTAAAAAAGCAGGAAGGTTGTATACCCGAAACAAGGCAGAAAGGCTTGAGTTGGTGTTGTTACAATCTTTGTTCCATGCCTACGTATTATGTTAAACTTTATAGCCTTGATATGTTGCTTCTCTAATAACATCTCGTCATCAAACCAATATTTTTATTACAAAACCAAAACTTGAAACTCAAGCAGGACTATATATAGTTCAATTGGCAAAGAACATTGCATTCGAAGAACCATTGAATTGATTGATCGAAAGTCAGCGTTTAGCAGCATTGTCAGACACCGAGGCATTACATCGGTTAGAAGCAGCTTCTTGTTATTTTACAACCCAGACAGTAATTTTCTACACTTGCTTTGAAACTGTTGATCATTTATTGTGCAATTCGCCATATTGCATTTTCGTAAATTCTTTACAAGGTGCAAATATAGCTCTCACGAGCCAACCTAGTCGTGTTGATGGGGTTTTTTCTTTTTAGTACTTATTTAAGGCCATCTTACAGGAGGCCAATTTGTTGCTTTCACCATAGTTGCAACAACCTTCAAAGAATTGGTATGATAGGCCCAAGCAGCAATTTGGCAGAAATATGTGACGCTTTCGGGCAACTTCTTTCCTGGGCCCAACATATATTTTGGAAGTTGAGTTTGCTCGTGTATGTTGGCCTCTCTGTGACGGGGACTGCTACTACACATACCTTAGTGTTTTATGCGATTCCAAATGCACATGCAGAAAATTGGACTTACCACATTCTCTCGCAATACATTTGTTCTAATAAAACAGGTTACATTATGTTGCGAGCCTTACCCTTCTTTTTCAAGCATGGTAGTTTACTGTTGCTGTACACATCTAATCATTGTATTCTGTTTTTGGACAGGGCTACATTTCTCCACTCGAGAGTCAGATTGGAACACTACATATTGATATGGTTGATATTGATAACATTTTTGGAAATGTGAAAGATATAAAGGATTTTAACATGTAAGCCCTATAACCTCCCCGTGAGTTATGTATAATTATACAGTGCAGTACCATTCAAATTATAGGGGTGCAGTATAATAAGGTGGAGAATGTGTTGCAAAGGTGTTACTTTAAATATAGTTGCGTAATGCTTGGCATTCTACCCTGGTTATCTTGGGCACTGATCTAGTTGTGTGTGTACATCAAATTCTGTATTTATGGGGTCATGATGCAAAGACCAATATAAAAATATTTAGCACCGATAGCAATTACACTGGCTGGCGATCGGCTATATGCACGCAGATTTGGTCCTGGGTTATCGTTCGAAACACACACGTGGCATACCTTCATCTCTCTGGATCACGTGATACAAAATTGAGGTTTACGTAAGAATGAAATGGTGAAATACAATACAATTCACAACACACTCCCCTTTTGACCAGACATGGTCAACTAAGGTACGTAAGTTAGGCATGAATGAAAAAGGTTCAAATGTCCTGGAGTAGCCTTTCTGCGATCATCGGCTTGCTGTGCAGTGACACGCCGAGAACGTTTTCCAGCTTCTTTGGAATGTACAACTTCTGTTTTCTCATCTTCCTTTGCTGGTTCAGGTGGCGAAATATCTCCTGATGATATCTCTGGATCGGTCATGGTAGCTGGAGGGTTTGGATGAAACACCTTGAGTGGATAGAGCAATTGAATTGGGCGGCGCAATAAAATCTTGCTGTCTGTCTCTCTTCACCACCTTGACCTCCGCACCTCTGATTTGTCCATCGCGACCCTTGATTGTTTTTTGTATCCTTCTGAGCTTCCATAGACCACGACGCAAATGTTCGTCATGAACGATGACAAGTTTTCCAATGGCAAGGCCGGGATTGTCCTTCTCCCGAGTCTTTCGTGTCGGCACCCGGTCCCTGGGCGATTCATGATAACTTCTCGAATCGCACGGCCCTTGCGCCGGCGATGGTCCATTCAAATTTATGCCCTATCAACTTTCGATGGTACGGTAGTGGCATACCATGGTTGCAGGTCATTGAGGTATTGGTTCTCCATCGGTTCCAAAAGTGGTTCAATGTATTGTTGAGATGCTTCATGCATCTTGTATATAAGTAGCATGGGATCCACTGTGAAGTCGTCATCACTTGGATCTGCTAGGTGTCCGAGGTAATCTGGTAGGTTAAGAATTCTTCGTCCCACCAACAGATGAGAAGGGGTGAGTGGTTCCTCTATGTCACTAGCAGAGATGTAGGACAACGGTCTTGAGTTAATTACTGCTTCAATTTCAGTGAGTGCTGTGATAAGTTCATCAAATGAGAAGTGTGCTCTTCCGATCATCTTACGCAAACAACGTTTTGTTGACTTAACCATTTGTTCAAATGTACCTCCCCACCATGGAGCACACTCAATGTTGAAAAGCCATTCGCTGCCTAGTTCGGCCAGATTCTCCTTGACAGAGGAATCTTGGAAAGACGACCTTGATGTACTTCGCTGCTGCCTTGAAGGTTTTGCCGTTGTCTGAGATGAATTTTCGAGGTAAACCTCTTCTCGCTGCGAATCGCTTCAGGCATCTCATGAACGTTTGCGTGGACTGATCAGAGAGAGCATCCAGGTGTACGGCTCAGGTTACGAAGCACGTAAAGAGACAGATCCAAACCTTGCTGGCGGTCGACGTTTCGGAGACACGAATGCTCAGTGGACCAGCAAAGTCCACACCAGTATAGGTGAATGCCGGATCTTCCTTCACTCTGTAATTAGGTAGTGGTGGCAGTGGTGGACCCTGGAAGGGCATTCTCTCAAATCTGCAACACAGGACACAGCGGTGGATGATAGACCTGGTCAGGCTTCTTCCCTTGGGGATCCAGAACTTTCTTCTGATTTCGGTTAAGGTTTCCTTGACTCCATTGTGGAAGACACGCTCATGAGCCTCTCTCACAATCAGTTCGGTGAGTGGATGGGTTCTGGGTAGAAGTATCGGGTGTTTGATGCTATACGACACGTCCACATTGGAGAGTCTCCCCCCACAACGCCATACCCCATTGTCATCCTCGAAGAGTCTAAACCTTGCTCTCTGATTGGCAAAGTCCTTTCCATGGATTAGTTGTTTCTGTGCACTAGTGATCCACAGTGTCTCAGCCTGCACTAGCTCCTCTGCAGTGATGGTCGTGGGATTGTCGACGTTGATCTGCTTGAACCGTTTTACTGCCCTTATAATTTGTGCAGTAACTCTCAAAAGTCGTGGTAGGGTGCTGTAATTCTGGCATGTCATTAGGCCATCTATTGTGCCCCTAGGATCAGTGGTGATGAGGTTGAGAGACTTCATGGCGCGAGCTTTCAGCTTTGAGTAGCATTCTTCAGGCATGCTGTCTGTTTCAATTTCAGAATGAGGTGTGATGGAGTCCTTGAGCAGCCACTCTGGTCCTTGTCTCCACAGCTGGTTCACAGAAACATCCAGAGCAGTGAGTCCTCTTGAGGGCAGGTCTGCTGGATTCGATACCCCTGGACAATGACTCCAGAGATCAGGATGTACGTTCCGACGTATGTCGTTAACCCTGTTCTGAATGAAGGGTTTCCACTCCTTGCTGGTGCCACGGATCCAGTAGAATGCAACTTGTGACTCTGTATTGCAATGTACTCCCAGCTGGGGGAAAACAGATTTGAGGCTATTTTCAACGGAGACAATGAGCTTAGCCAGTAGGAAGGCTGAGAGTAGCTCCAAGCGGGGTATTGTTTGAGACTGAAGAGGTGCGACTCTTGTCTTCGCAGCCACGAACCTGACGAGTGTTTGAGTGCCGGTCCTTGCTAACCGATACACCACCGCTGCATAAGCTCTGGTTGAGGCGTCGCAAAATCCACAAAGTGACACTGATGTTGGCCGTCCATCGACATCACTGAAGTAGCTTCTCAGAATGGAGATTGGATGTCCTTCAGCGAGATCAGTGACTAGATCCCCCCACTCCCTGACCAATTCTTCTGGTAGGGTATCGTCCCAGTCGAGTTTGATTTGACAGAGCTTCTGGAACAGGATCTTGAACTTGATGGTGATATTCAATTATCCCATTCTTCAATTGATCTCAAATGGTGCTGTCATATTCCTTCAGTATCTCCGGGTTCTGCTTAAGTCGATGCAGTAGCCCTCGCAGCCTCTTGAGGCTCAGGTAATAGTTGTCAGGTAGGGGTTCGTGAAATTCCTTCCATGGGAGTGAGACCTTGTAGCAGCCGTCTTGAAATGTGATATTGCTGGAAAAGTCGTCATACAGAGTCTTCTCCACTTCGTGTATGCCGAGTGACTCCAGCTCCCAAATGGATCTGAGTTGTGCATCTAGCCCTGTAGTATCAGGCATTTGTGTGTCGGCTCTAAGCACGTGTGTGGTGATCAGATTCATCGAACATTGTACCGAATCCTGTGCTGATGCTGGACCGGACAGTACCCAACCCAATTTAGTGTGAACGGCAGTTAGCCCCCCATCACCCTTGCAAATGCTCCCAGTGACTAGGTCCCAATAGTAGTCAGAGCCTATGAGCATGTCGACAGTAGTAGACCCATCCGAGTAGTCGGCTAAATCCAGCCCCTTAAACTTTGAGTTTCGTTCAATGCATGCTGTGATTGGCTGACTAACCAAAGGCTCGCAGATGGTTGGGACGACATACAACATCAATAACATGGGCGGACAATGTTTCAGCTGCATTCCCACATTCACGATCGGGCATACCTTCATTTGCTCCCGGTTCGATCCAAACGTGGTGATGGAGAGTTGCTGTTCTCCGCTAAGCTCCAATGACAGTAGACTTCTTGCACGTTCTGTAATGTAGGACTTCTGGCTGCCAGTGTCGAACAGGAGGCGAACTTCTATGGCTGCGGAGGGGTTCGAGGGATTATGCACGACGCTGCGAGCTGTCTGTAGTAGCACGGTCTTCCTACTGTCAGGACAGAGTGCATTCGTAGCTACTGTGGGTGTGTATGATGGTGCTTCGGGGTCGAGCCTGGAGGACGTAGGGTCAGGTGTCTTAACGGGTCGGAGGCTGTCGACTAGCCCCGTCAGTGGCTTGTACCTCACATATGGAGGTGTGGTGCCTGCCCTTACATCGTTGGCATTTCCCTGATGATCGGCAGTAGCGTCCAACATGACCCTTCCGTAAGCAGTTGAAACAACGACCGTTGGTTCTCAGAAATTGCTTCCATGCGCTGCTACTGGTTACTGAGGTACAGCTTACTGATGGATGCGGTTGTTGACAGTAGCAACAGGTCACACCGGTTGTTGGCACCGGGGTCCTAGACAGTAGGGCTGATGTAGTTGTATGCTGACCTCGGTCGTGGGTCCGACGGGGTTGGGAATGGGTGGAGTCTGAGGCTCGTTCTCTAGCTCCCAGCTCTGCCTTAAGTAAGGCATCCACATCCAGATCCGAGGATGCGAACTTCCGGCTGACAATCAGGTGAATGTCGGGAGTTAACTTGCTGAGTAGTACTGATGATAGGAGCGTTCCATACGAGATAGAGTCAACTCCCAAGGACTTCAAGCTTCGGATGTGTGATGCTGTAGTGTCGTACAGTCGTCGTAATGCCCTCAGGTTCTGGTCTGATGACACAGCTTCAATGCTAAGCAACAATTCCATATGTTTTGAGATTATCAATTGCTTGTTACCAAACCTCTTTTGCAGGATGTCGATCGCTTCTTGATAATTGGCAGACGATAAGGTGACGACAAGGTGAGTCCGGATATGGCATCGCGTGCAGTTCGCTCCAACAACGATCGAAGATAGTTGAACTTCTCCACATCTGTTAGTTCTGCGCTGCTGTGGATGGCCGAATCGAACGAATCCCAGAAGGTCGTCCATTTCGTCAAGTCACCATTGAAGTGAGGAAGTGAGAGCTTGGGTAGCTTGACCCTTGCACCGCGGTCGGGGGTGGGCGTCGAGGCCCCAGTTTCAGTTGTAGGAGTGGGTGTGGCGACATGATTTATTACCTTATTGATCCGCGCCAACGCGTCATACATTCTCTCCTTGTATTCGTCTGACTGCTGGATCTCGTCCTCTAAGCCGTCTTCAGGCGTGATTTCGATTATCTCCGCGTCGACGTGTCCAGCTTTCCGTTGAGAGGCAATTTCAGTAGAGAGAGTTGGTCCGCGTTAGGGGGCGTTTCATCTAATGCGGCAGTAATCTGCCCAAGAATACGAGTGGCGGACGCCTTGTGGCCAGCGCGAATTCTCCTTCGTCGAGCCAGTGCTTCAGCTTCAGATATTGTGGTGAATGGGTGCACTAATTAGAGTGATCGGTAGATAAACTCTGCTCCTGGAGTTCCCAGGTCTCGGCACCATGTAAAGGACCGCCTTTCACTCTATCCTAGCAATGATAGCAATTACACTGGCTGGCGATCGGCTATATGCACACAGATTCGGTCCTGGGTTATCGTTCCAAACACACACGTGGCTGGCCAGCTCATAACTTCATCTCTCTAGATCACGTGATACAAAATTGAGGTTTACGTAAGAATGAAATGGAAATGGTGAAATACGATACAATTCACAACAGTGATGTAAGTGTAAGTGCTGGCACAGTCAGCCTTCTTCATTTCTTCACTTAATTATTCCGCACATCTCGCTCCCAATCTAATGGGTGAAGGATGTGTAGTGAGAAAGAAGAGGAAAAATCAGCTCTACCAGTTGGATTTGAACGCACAACCTCTTGCTGCCTGGGGGTCATGGTGCTTAGGCTAGTATTATTTTTTCTAGTCGTTAGAGGAAGGTAATCAAAAGGATATGTTGTTACTGGAATATATTCGAGGTGGGTGAAGGCAAAATATAACTTAATAGGTCTGTGTTACTGGAATAAGTGGTTTTTAAAAACACTGCTCATTCTAGGATTGCACAACTGAGGTTTTAGACCTCATACCACACACTTTTCTTTGCAAACTCAACCCTCGATAACTCTACCCTGACATTGTCAACTGGGAACTGTGAAAGGTCAAAGATTTTCCCTGCAGTGCATATAGAGCCAGTTGTGAGGGTTACACTAGCAGCATTGCCATGCCGCGTCATTAGGATATCTTGATCTTTTCCACAGCCTGGTGCGACAAAGCACCGTAATGTGTTTATACCTCGCTTTACGAGTGGGCGATTTTCGTAAAAGAATTAAAAGCATCTAAGCAAGCCAACATGCAAATTAGCACTGGTTTACCTGGACTTGATCTGCTTTCTTGTGTACCTATGAAGCACAAATAGTCACAACAGGGGGTGTTCCGCATGCTATCTACTAGTGTAGCTAGCGTCCATGAGCTATAGCAGGAGACCACGAGTTAATCGACAACACATCGTCATTCACTGCGCATACGTATGAATTCTAAGTTTCTAGGGCGCCAAGGGTTTTAACTTTAGTTCTATAATTTCAGAAAAGATGAGCGCACCTTAGGAATGTTTGAGGTGAGCCCTCTGTATATACTGTTTACCAGATTTGTTTCATAAAGTTGAGGGATTCATCTGCACATGTAAAAGTCTCTTGGAATGTGTAGGGTGTGAAAACAGGCCGCCTCCTCCTTCAGCTTTAGGGCAGACTTTGCAGTGCTTATCGATCAGATTCATCACACAATGCATTAGTTATGGGAAAGGGGGTGTATACCGTACTTTTTGGGGGCCGACGGGATCCTGTCCTTCACTTTTGAGTCCAATAGAGTCGGATCCCTTCGGTATAGGAACTGGGGGAGGCGTAAAAAAGTCACGGGTAGATCATTCTGAACAAGGGACCTGGTGTTACGTAGCAACCTGGTTACAAACAAATCTTAGTGTTTTTAGACGCGTGGGGCTAGGGGTAATCATGAGGCCTAGTACGTAGCTCAATGAATTAAATAGGCTCATCACTAATGCTCATTTTAGGGACCTGTGTGCCTTCTTGTGTCTCTCTAGAAACCTTCTTGTTTGCTTCTTGTAATAAAATGTTGTTTATGTATATAGCACTTCCAAACAAGAGGCTTGTTAGGCACAGTTTGAATTATGTAGTGTGAAGACTGGCAAAGAGGTTCTGTATAGGAAGCAGTTCTGTATAGGAAGCAGCACTGTAACATTGGTTAGTTGAGCGAACATCTATGATAACACTCATAGACTACAAAAATTACAGTCACTATTCAAAACTGAGGATCTGACAGAGAGGGCATTAGCTACCAGTCTTACGTGCATAGGAAACGAGTCACATCATACGGCAGAGATCACTCGTGCAATATGGGGCTTGTGTGGAGTAAAATTTACATGAGCAAAAAATGTCAGTTTGAAGATGTAACCATCATCCATTGTACCACTGCCTCACATACACTAAGATATCCCTGTCTGCTTTTTATGGAATCCCTATATTTCACACTTTTTATTTCGAACAAAGTTTATGTATATACTTGCAAGCATTAGTAGAGAAAGTCAAAGAGAGATATAGTCCAAGTGGAGTTTTAGAGTTGCACACAAGACAAAAATGTATGGATTTTGTGCTTGGGTCGGGATTGTCAGTGTGCTCAAATCTGTTCGTTACCATTCTTCATGTATGCCATCCGTATCTTGTCTCCCCTTCTTTCTGTACCATCCCTTTATATTTAAAGTTTAAAATTCAAAGGATTTTTATTTACATGTGATGAATAATAATTAATCTTTTTTCATGTAGGTCAGTTCTTAATTCACTTAAAGAATGTCGTTGCAGCAGTAAGGGAGTTGGTCAGTGTTTCTTAGACAAGGTATGTATGCAGTGGCAAGTATGTAAGATGACAGGATTTTTTTACAAGTAAATAAAAAAATCCTGCGAATCTAAATAAGAGGCATATAGGGATGGTATAAAAAGAAAGGGGACAAGATAGGGATGGGATACATGAAGCATGGTTAATAAACAGATTTGAGCATCTTGACACCCCGACCCCATCACACAATTTTGTACTCTTGGTTACTCAGTAGCATGACTTTTTACGCTGTAAGTCCTGACTATTGTGTAAATTGTGAATGTTTAATACTTCACCTAGGCAACAATATAGGGATTGTGTGATGGGGTCGGGGTGTCAGCGTGTTCAAATCTGTTCATTAACCATGCTTAATGTATCCCATCCCTATCTTGTCCCCCTTTCTTTTTATACCATCGTATGTGCTTATTTTTTTAAATTCGCATTATTTTTAATTTACTTGTCTCCACTCATACTACTACGTTTATATATGTGAAAGGGGGCGAAGTCCCTATAAAAATTAATAATAGAGAAAAATGCCTGTTGTCGTTATGGAAATGATGTAATATGCATGCGTACCAAGTTTCATCTCCATGTGTGCTGCCGTTAGAAAGTTTGAGGAGTGAAGAAGTAAATGCCTGAGCCTATTTGTTGTTGTTCAAATAATATGTGGTTTTCATGGAAACGATGTCATAAACATTCGTACCAAGTTTCATCTCCATGAGTGCTACCGTTAGCAAGTTTGAGGAGAAGTGCCTGAAGCTATTTGTACAATAATGTGTAGTTGTCAAAGAAACATGTAGTTGTCATGGAAATGATGTAATACGCATGTGTACCAAGTTTCATCTCCATGCGTGGTACCTTTAGCGAGTTTAAGAAGTGAAGAAGTAATTTTTAAGAAAATTGCCTGAGGCTATTGTTATTTAAACAAAGTGGTTGTCATGGAAATGATGTTACATGCATGTGTACCAAGTTTCATCTCCATGCGTGGTACCGTTAGTAAGTTTGAGGAGTGAAGAAGTAATTTTAAAGAAAATTGCTCTTGGCTATTTGTTGTTGTGCTCGTCATTTGTTGTTCAAATAATATGTGTTTGTCATGGAAACAATGTCATACAGATTCATACCAAGTTACATTTCCATGAGTGCAAGTTTGAGGAGAAGTGCTGAAGCTATTTTATCAATATGTAGTCGTAATAGAGACATATTGTCATGGAAATGATGTAAGGCGCACGTGTATCAAGTTTCATCTCCATGCATGGTACCATTAGCGAGTTTGAGGAGTGAAGAAGAAAGAAAAGTGTTTGAGGCTCTTTGTTGTTGTGGTCGTCATAGATATGATGTATTACACATGCGCACCAAGTTTCACCTCCATGTGTGCTACAGTTAGCAAGTTTGAGGAGTGATGAAGTAGTTTTAAAAGAAAATTGCCTGAGGCTTTTCAAACAATATGGGTTCGTCATGGAAACTTGTAATCGTGATGAAAATGATATAATAGGCTCTATGCGTGCTAAGATTGGAAAGTTTGGGGAGTGAAGAAGTAAATTTAAAGAAAAGTGCCTGAGGCTATTTGTTGTTGTTTACAAACATGCATTGTTGTGATTTTAATGTTGGTGATTGAATACATTATGTTTACAAAGTTTCGTTCACATGAGCTCTTACCCTTTTGTGAGTTATAGTGACACATGTGATCCCATTGTAATGTATTGCCTCTGACTATTTGTTGTTGTTTACACTAAACAATGTTGTTGACAAAGAACTAAGTGTGACCAGTCTCTTCTGGTGAAGGTTATCTACATTCTTACAAAATTTCATTACTACTCATCCATGGTGCCAGTAACATGATACTCGCCATAACACAGGGTAGTTGCATTAGTGGTTAGAGCAATTGCTCAGGTGTTTCAGAGGCTCTCATATTTGATCTATCTGCTCTTCTGTGTTTAAATGCTCTCGCCAGATGTTTGAAAGATGGGAAGGCAAGGCAGTAACCACGAACTGCTCGCCACCTGAACTATTATGCTACATTGCGAACGTACCTTGCTCAGTATGTTTCTCCATTGCAAACGAACAGAGATCAAAACTGACAGAAGCCCATGGATCGTACTACCAACGTGGCGTAGCGCATGCTCCGGGGGATAATTGACCTGACGCGTGCGTAGCCTGCTGGAGAGGGCGCGTGTGCGATCGACCGTACGTTGACTTTTTCGCTTGTTTTCACACCATATCTCTGGAACGTAGTTGTTTCAGGAAATTGCCATTTTAATATCCATGTTCTCGTTGTTCACAACTCGTTGGTGCTACTCATTGGCCTCCTCGTAGCCTGTAGTGCGAGAACTGACGCGGACAAACAGACAGACAGATAGACGGACAGACAGACAGACAGACAGACCAAGTACCGTAACTCTCGCTGCGCATCCGCGCCGAGGGTTAATAATTATGGACAGCCCTTTCTTAGCTCTTCATTGGGCCAGTAACGAATCATGCACAATGTTAACTTATCTTCAACTTTTAAGTATTGATGCTGATTCAGTATTATGTATACATCATCAAACTGCAGGCTGAAGGTTTCAAGAGTCATTACAGTGTTTATTGCAATAATTATCCCAAGTGAGTTAAAATTTGTTTTTGAAGGGAGAATGCTACAAATACTAAGGAAATGTAACACATGTTTGAATCATCTGTGTAGGTACGTAAGATTCAAAACAAATACAAAATCACCATCAGTTTTTTGGGTCTGGTCACACCACTTTTAGACAGGCAAATATGTAGCATAAAGAATTAAAGTGGTGAATGATAGTATGAGGATTGTGTGACAAGCTAGAAGAGAAGACGACAATGAATTGTGTATATGTTATGCAGTCGTAGGGCTACATATGCTGGATTTTTGAACGGAACAATTTATTATGTTACTTTGTTGTTACGCGCAATGCAAAAAAAGCTAAAAATGCTTATCCTCACCACTTAAAAACTTATAGACTAGTGCGTTTGCAATGAATCCCCTGGCCATTGTGGAGGTGTTAGGTCAATTGCGTGGGCTAGAAAGTGGGAGTATCTCAGATCCTGTGCGTCCGCGTCTACTTTGTTCGCGTGTACAGACTTCACGCCCCGCTCGCGCGTCGCGCCCTCGAGTACCAGAAGGCGATTGAACTGCCCATCTTGCTACCGCATGTTCATGGCCTGTTCTTTCGAAAAATGAAGCCATCCTAAGGCACTTGATCTTGAACCAGGTGATCTGCTGATCAGCATCAGCTCACAGAGCGCGTGAAAGGGAGAGGATGCTGCCAACCCGCTGTAAAGTGTCTATTCTGGTGCTGCCGGCTCCCCACTTGTTTTACAACAAAATAGCTTTGCAAGAGTTTGAGTTAGCGGCCCTCCCGTTACTTCGCACGTGAGATGGAGTTAAAACGGGGTTAACAGCATGGAGCAGGCTAAACGGTTATTATAAATAACAGTGCATGCTCAGACCGGGCCCAACCTCTCCTCTATAGGGCAGTGCGGAGCAGACTTATGCCCGGGACCAAGCTCCCCTCTATTGGGCGGTGGCAATCAAAGGAGGGCAGTGCTGGTCACACCCACAACATTAATGACCGAATTAGGGGTGCTGCTGGACCAACAGCATCAGAATGCGGCAGCACCTCAGGGGGAGGCAGGTTCCGCAAACCTGCATAACTCGAAACAATCGGCCGCAGAGGTATGTCAGGTTTATGTATCTTGGGGAGTCCATAAATCGATTGGGTTCTCCCTGATGAGCACCTAAGGGTGTTGTATTTGGTGGTAGGTATCTTACAATCTTTTTTTAGCTGGAGGAGTGTGGCGTTCATCTTATGCTGGAGAGATGGGGTGGGATCCTTTTCAAGCAATCTGTATGTCGACTCGTGAGAAAGGAAGTTGGTTATATTATCCTCGTACTTCAAGGTATCCATGATAACTGCTGCATTTCCCTTATCGGCAGGTAGCACTACCAGATCACTATCATTCTTTAATTCATTAAGTTTCTTTGCAAGTAAAATTCTTTGGTGTGGGTCTTGCTTTCGTCAGTAGTCCAGTTATGTTCTGTCTAACTTCTATGGCCGCTGT